AGGGGATGTGAGTGGCACAGGGGATGTGCTCTACAAACGCGGGTGGTTCCTGCTGCATTGCTGAGTCTGCACTGGTAACCACGATGCCGAACTCACGGGCTGTGCTCCAGGTTCTGTAGCAAGGCACCAGGCTCCATGTTCATGAGGCCTGTGTCACTCACTTTCCACTCACAGACGCCTGTGGAGTCGTCGAGCCCGCACTGCATTTTGACCTCAATGTTCTACTCAGTGCAGGAGTCCTGGCTGCAGCGCCCGTGGAAAGGATAACTTGGCCTCCTTAGAAGCCTTGCCAGGCCGTCACGGAACTCACTGCCTCACAGTGCTGTTGATTTCATCCAGTAAAACTTCCCTTTTGGAGAGTCTATTTTTTATTTTATGAAGAAATCTTTATCCTCTCTCCAAATCAGTGCATCTACTGACTTCTAGGGAAAAACAGAATTCTCCCTCCACCATATGACGGTCTTTGAGCATCTCAACAATTTCCTTTGGTTAAATATATTGTGGTGCATTTTATTGTCATTATTTTGAATATGCAAAGTCCTCTCTTCCCCTGTCCCTGCTCCCCAGTTAGCATGTTTGTATTTAGAAACAGAAAACTGGCCCCACTGTTAAGGATGAAATAAAAAGAAGAAGACAGCAGAGAAACTTTAGCTTTGCAATTCAAGCCTTTTCACTGCATGGTTCTAGCTAGTCCCCATGGCCCTAAGCTGCATCAGGCCACTTCATCTGCTGACAGCTGAGGAGGCTCCAGGCAGCAGATCTCCATGCTTCCTCCCACTCCCACCGCCTCTGTGCCCAAACCCGTCTGTGGGAGCAGAGCGACACCAGCCAACTGCAGAGCTGACAGGCCTCAGGGGCCAGGGCGGTGGAGGTTTCAGAAGCCCACTGTCGTGTGTGCCATCATTAAAGCACTCTGTTGGCTGTCTCGAAAGAATCTTCTTTTGGAAAGGTGTAAACATGTTGGCCCATCAGAGGAAGCCATAAATCTCCCTGTATACATAGCAATACAGTTGCACCAAACGGAAGAAGAGCTCTTGCCAATCTCATGTTTCATTTCAACCTGGCCATCTGGGTTCAGACAGAACTTGGGCTAACAAGCTGTATACACCCACAGCAAAGAAGCATTCCACTGAATCTTCCAAGGCTACTAAATTTTTCACGCCAACATTTTTCAGTACACTATGATGGCAGCTACCCCTTCCCCTAATTTCTCCCCAAATTGAGCCCCTAAAGACTTGCTATGGAATCTTCTTATGCAGATAATGAGAGCTAAGTCCACTGAGAGCCATGCAAAAAAAAAAAAAAAAGTGGCCAGAGTTCTGACCAAGAATATAGGCTTTGGGGACCAGAAGACCCTGGTTGAGTTTACATCCTTTGATGCAGCAGCTGAGCAAGAGGCTGTTCTGATCTTCAGATAAACTCTGGGGTTGTTCCAGCATCAGGAGAGCATCAAAATCTGTTTAAACTTTGCTGGTTAAATTAATACAGGGTCAATCATTGATGAGGCAGATTCTCCAGTGCTAAACAAATCTCACGAATATGATAGTAACCAACTTATATTCAGTGTTGAGGGTTCTTTATCTTAGATAAAGTCCTACACTAGGCCGGTCTCAAGCCAGAGGTAGGTGCCTTGGTGGGGCCATGGCCCCTCTGAATCCAGGCTTGCCCATGTGACCTCATCCGCTGCTGACAGCAAATGTTCGTGTAGCCTGCTGGAGGTGCAGCTTCAGAGGGCTTCTTGTGGGCTTGGGTTGCAGAAGGCAGGTATAGAATATTTATATTGGTTCATTCAGCCTCCCAAGCAACTTTCTGAAGCAACCATCTATCATCCACCAAATAGATGCTAGTTCTGTGGGGTTTATAAAGAACTATAACAATGGTAAAGTTCAAATAATACAGCTGGAATATGCACATCTACTCATTAACCCATTTACGCTGGAGGGTGCACTTTTTGTGTGTGTGTGTGAGAAAAATCAGACCTTGGCGATGACCTTGAGCAGTATGACATAAATAACTCCCACAAGCTTAGCGTTCCAATAATGGAACACTGGGCATAAGTGGGTTAAAACCATGCAAGGCAGGATGTTTCAACCGGACGACAACCAGTACAGAACCCTTGCTCAGAGTTCAGAGGAGGAGAGGGACGTCTGTGCTCCAGGGAGCAGAGAAGGACTCATGGGGTGAGCCATGTGCATGAAGTCCTAAGGGAGGAATCTGAATAGAGGCCAGAGGGAGAAGTTCCTCCAAGAGCTAGGGTGTGGTCCTCTGCCCCACTTCCCTGAATCCCTCAGAGCTGAAGGAGGTGAGCCAGGGCCTTAGCTGTTCTCTCTGGAGCTGTCTTGTTGCCTTGCTTTCAATTGCGAGTGCTTGAAGATTAAGCTAATGAGCTTTCCTGCTGCGGGTGGTGGGGAGCCAATGCCTCCGCCCTGGCACCCAGCCCTGGTTATTTTTCTTTTAAATAAAGAAACAGGCTGTCTAACATCAGGTGGAGACCTAGGTGCCTTGCACAGTCTCAGGTTGGAGAACATCTTTGCCTCGGGTGACAGATGGGCCCATCACACTTCATCTCCCAGACCTCTGGCCGCAGCAACACTGCACATATGACACTCGAGTTGGTGACACTCTGTCATCCATTCCCATTAATGTATGATAGAACTCAATCAGTCCAGCTGCCAGGGCAGCATCAGAGCGGAGTAGCAGGAAGCAAAGAAAACCACTTGGACCCCTGCATGACCTGCGTTCTTTTCCTCCCAGGCCATACTTCAGTAAGGATTTCTCGCCAGCATAGCAATATTTTGAATTCCAAGTTGGTGATGAGGTTTTGAGTTGACCATGCAATGCCATTTATCAAACCCCTGCTCCTCTTTGGAATTCTGGCAGGCATGCTACGTATTGACTGTGAAGCCCCAGCAAAGCACAACTCTGTTTTTGTTCAATGCTACTAAATTTGAAGGAGGTGTGTTTGTGGGTGAGTGTAAGTTTTGAAGGAAAACATTTCCTATTTTTGTATGGTTCTGCATGTCAGGTTTTTCTTCACCATTCTGTTGTTTATTGTGCTCTTTTCATTTTTTTTCTTGTGCTTTGTTTTGTTCCTTGTTGCATTGTAATTGAGACTGACGTCAATTTTAAGACTCTAGAATTCTGTCTTTATGGTAGACTTGCAAAAACAAAAAAGTCACAAAGTTATTGGCACAAGAAGAGACTGTGGCGTAATACCACTGACTGACCATCTCACCCATGCTCTCCCTTATTTCTTAATAACATGACTAATTTTATTATGTGCCTATCTACACCCTGCATTTCCCAGCTTTTCTTTAAGCTCAGTATAGCCGTGATGCTCAGTTCTGACTAATGAGCTATAAATGTGTGTTACATATGACTTTGGGGCAGCACCCTATGATGGAGTGGGTGAGCCAGATTCTCCTTCTTCTATGCAGTCCCATAAGAGAATGTGCTGCTGGGACCAGGAGGATGAGGACGGTACCTTAACGATGGCAGAATGGCAGTCTGGGGTCATGTGGTCCTTGAAGACGTTGAGGAACTACCTTGTCAATCCTGGACTCTTCTTTTTCATGAGAAAATTAAATCTTGTGGTTTACGCCACCACTGCTTAGGTTTTCTGTTACATGAAACCAAAATTAATCCCAGCTCCTATGTCAATAACATTCCAAAGTTACCTTTACTTTACTGAGAAAGTTTTCTTCATCCCCTACTCATGAAATGCCTGTCCATTACATAAAGTAACCAGTGGTTCTCTCACTCCTCTTAGGATGATGACAGTCCCACCGTGACAGGAGCTCCTCTGAAGCACTGCTGTCTCTTCCTCCCCCTCGTTCTCCATCCATCTCTGTCTTCCTTCCTTCCAATATCCATCCAGTGCTTCCCATGTGCCAGACGCTGCACTGGAAGGTGATCCTTGCACCTATGGCACTTAGGAAAAGACAGAAGCATTTACAAATTGGGCAAAAGTCACGAAGAGTAGTATGAGATTTCACGTTCAGAGGTCTCACCAAGGCTGACACAGTGGAAATGAATGATATGGTTTGGATATTTGTCCCTGCTCCAACCTCATGTTGAAATGTGATCTTCAGTGTTGGAAGTGGGGCCTGCTGGGAGGAGTTTGGGTCACAGGGACAGATCCCTCATGGCTTGGTGCTGTCCTCACAGCAGTGAGTGAGTTCTCTGAGATCTGGTTGTTTGAAAGTGTATGGCACCTCCCCCCTCTCTCTCTTGCTCTCACTCTCCCCATGTGATAACTTGGCTCCCCACTTTGTCTTCCACTATGATTGGAAGCTCCTTGAAGCCTCCTCAGAAGCTAAGCAGATGCCAGCACCCCACTTCCTGTACAGCCTGCAAGACTGGGAGTCCATTAAACCTCTTTTCTATAAGGTATTTCCTTATAGCAATGCAAGAACAACCCCGTACAAGGAGACTGAAAAGATAAGTAGGAATTAGCTGGAGGAAGAAAGGGTGGAGAAGCTTCAGATGGAATGTTTCTCACAGGCAAAGGCCCTGAAATAGAGAGAGATGAAGAGAAACTCACAGAGGGCCTGAAGCACAGCCGGTGTGCCCAGAAAAGAAATAAAGTGTGAGCTGAGCATGGTGGCTCATACCTGTAATCCAGCACTTTGGGAAGCCAAGTGTAGGAGGATCACCTGAGCCCAGGAGTTCAAGACTGGCTTGGGCAATACGGTGAAACCCTGTCTCTGCAAAAAGTACTATAAAGCTGGGCGTGGTGGTGTGCGGCTGTAGTCCTACCTACTCAGGAGGCCAAGGCAGGAGCATCACTTGAGCCCACGAGGTCAAGGCTGCAGTGAGCCATGATTACACCATTGCACTCCAGCCTGGGCAACTGAGCAAGACCCTGTCTCAAAAATAAATAAATGAATACATTGTGTGTGTATGTGTGTCTGTGTGTGTGTGTGTGTGTGTGTGTGTGTGTGTGTGTGTGAGAGAGAGAGAGAGAGAGAGAGAGAGAGAGAGAAAGACAGACAGAGAAGATTGAGAGATGAGATGGGAAGAGATGAGTTTGAAGAGGTTGTCCAGAGCCGAGTAGATTATTCAGGCACTCGTTCAGTTGCAGAAGGCTTGGTGAGCAAGCAGCCTTCTTGTGGCTTTGGACTTCATCTTGAAAAACCATAGCTAACATTTGAAGGATTTTAAACCTGGAAATGACATAATGAAGTGTGCATTTAAAACTTCTCCCTTTTGCTATGGTCTGAGGAATAAATAGGAGGAAGGCTAGAGAGGTTGGTCCCAATGTCTTAAGAATGTTGCTTTATCGATCAGGGCTAAGTGATGCTGCTCATGCCCACTCCACACTTTTATTCCAGTTCTTTCCTTGTTTATTCATCTTCACACCTTTTCTTTCATGTGTTTTGCAGTTTTCTCTGTCTGCAGTTTCCATGTTAATCAGCCAGCTTAATGTTTGCAGGAATGTGCCTGCAGCAAGTTACTCATTTCTTTTTCTCTTACCCTTTCTCTCCCAGAGTCCCTCGTGTTCTCAAAAGATCCAGTTAATGTCATCATGAGTGGTCATTAGTAGCCATTATTTCAGTATTCCTTTGTTTAACCAGCTGAATAGAATGTTTTAACAAAGTGTTAACCTCCAGTACTCCTGGGTCAGGGAGCTCAGAGGATACCTTTGGGAGATGCTGAGGGCCACATGTGGATGGAGGTCAGGGAGTGAGTGGCCTGGCAGTTGACCTCTGCCCCTTTCACGTGCATCAAAACGAGGCTCTCTCTGCCTTATGAAAAATGAGCTTCGGAATCAGAGTTGGCCTGAAAATTAACCCACTGACATTACAGGCTTACGAATGCTGCTCTGCAGAAGAAATACTTCCAGATCAGCAACATGGCATTTTACCAACTTGTTCATTCAAGATCCTCTTAGGTTTGGTCCAAGCCCTAATGTTGGGATGACTGCAGCAGCAGCCCTGATGCCCCTCTTCCCAACTCCAGTCCTTCCCTACAGATCTCAACACCTGAACGCCTACACATTTGCTTCACACCAGGTCTACGCTTCCGTTCCTGGTTTCTAAGTCCTGTGTAATTTCCTCCTTAAACAACTGGCACACTGTGATTTCACCAACCTTAGCTCCCCTCTAACAAGGCAAAGCTCTCTTTTCTCTCTCTTCCTAGCCAGACTCTTCAATTCATCTTAATTTTCCTCACCCTCTCTCTCTTTCTGCTAGCCAAAATGTTTGTTCCTAAGTTCAAAGCTTAGCTCATTTTCTGCCTCTTCCAGGAAAATGCCCATCATTTTGTCTCCTTTCCCCAGGATCATTAAACACGAATCACCTGTGCATCAGACACAGCCCTCAACCATCGATTCGACATAGTCTTATGACATCTCCTGTTGCCATTTTCTCAGCTAGATTATAAACTCTGAAGGCAAGGGCCACATTTTGTGGAGAATTAAGCCAGGAGAATGTGTTTAAGCAAGACAGTGTCTTTCCATGAGAACATCAGGCAATTTTAACGTGCCCCTGTGGATTCTTCTTCATTTGCTGTGTTATAGATGGAATGAAATGTGTCTTCTTCCTTCTAGAGGACACTGGGAGATGAACTGTTCTCTGCCTTCAAAGAAGTAAGGCCATGCTCTTGGTGACAGATGATTGGAACTCTGGGTTCAATGAACATCAGGATCTGTTGTGAAAATGAGGGAGGAGAGAAGGGTTGGTGGGGGTGGTATAGACCTGGGGATGAGAATCAAGAGTGGTGGGGGAAGGTGAGGGCGGGCAGTGAAAATAATGCCTGCAGAAGCCCCAGAGCCTCAGCTGTCCTGGAGAAAGTTACCCCGGAAGAAAGAATTCTAACTTTTGTGAAAGAGCTGGTGGTTGGGCTACGTGTCTTGAGTGTGCAGGAGCCCATGGAAGAGGAGGTCTTGCCTTCCGACAGCACAGGACTTACCTGGGCCAGAACCTGCCAGTGCCAGTCCACAGGGCTCTTCCCCAGAGGCCCTCCTGCAGGCCATGGAGGAAATGTTACTGAGACAGGTAACATACGCACTGCTCAGACAAAGGAGCGCCCAACTGCCACAGCCTTTGCTCTCTTCCCATTCAGTCACCCACGAGAGCATCTACAATCCCTAAAACAACTGTGGGTGCAACGATGAGATGTGGACACTTCATAGGGTATTTAATGGTAGGAAAGTTCTTGCAAATAAGCTTGGGATGGCAAAACTGAAGATGAACAATACCCTTGAGCTGGAACAGTGACATCTCTCTTATGTTTTAAGTTGATTACTTTAAGGAAGGATGATAGCACTAAAATGTCAATTCTTGCCTTGTTTAGACCATGGAATCTGTAACCAATGATGCCTTCTACCTGGAGGCTCAGTCACACCTTAATCCCTGGGAGTTAATACCAGCCCTGAACCCCCAGGTGCCTCCACTGAATCCTCAATCCTCTACCAAGAACTTGTTAAGCTTTTCCCCAGGGGCTTGGGATCTACTTGCCTACCCTTATTGCACAGAATTTATGGCCTGCCTACTGTTAGCCAGGTTCCGTGCAAGGTGCTGAAGATATTCAAGGTTCCACCTGTCCCTTGGATCCCCTTTGCTGGGTCCACACTCATGATATGGTTTCCCTTGATGAATACCAATGACTACTGTGACCATATCACACCCTTTGGGCTCAGCGGACTGGATGAATATACCTCTTTGAGATCATCCCTACAACTGGCTTGTATTTATAATCTACTAACCTGCCTTCTTTTTCTTATGCCCACCAGCCAATGTCTCTGATATCCCAGAACGAAGTCATAACATTCTAGTAATTAGCAGAAAAGAACCTTATTGGCCTTTTCGTGAAGCACAGTTGGTTAATTTCAGATAAAAAGGGACAGTATGGTTCATTTTCAGAGCATGTGGCTCTAAGCCATTAAATGCACCTGTGTTGAAAAATGGCCGTCCTGATTGTAAAATTCAGTAATTACTGAAGCAATTGCATGTCTTCCTGTGTGAGAATTGGTAGCAGTTGGGGGAAATTTCACCGTGGCTGGTGGGAATTGAAGCTGAGATAAAGGCAGGGAGCATGTGTGTCAACAGCTGGGAGGTGCCACATCACCTGTACATGGGGCAGGTGGGAGCAACAGGAGCCCAAGCAGTATCCTCACCACTTTTCCAGTGCAAGCAAGCATCTGGGGAAGGGAACTCCCAGGGAACAGACAGATCCAGGGGAAAAGGCCAGGTGTGATTCGTCCATCAGGCATTGTTAGGCACAGGCTCTGTCACTGCAGAGAGGGCCTGGTCAGTGGGTCCAGCCAATCCATCTGTTCTGCCTGTTGTGGCCTGCGCTGTGTTGGGCATTGCGAGAATGAGAATGGCTGTGAAATATACAGCCTTGCCTCAATGTCTTACGATAGAGAACCGTTATGTGAACCATGAAAGAAGGACTGTGCATTGAGAGACAGAGGTGAGGTTTGTTCTAATGTTTGAAAACTGAATACTACCTTTCTTATCGACTGTACAACTTCACCTGCAGAATGTCTCCATAGCATGGCATTTCCTGCTCTCAGAACCTCACCTCACTCACCTTGATTCTGAGTCAAGATATCAACCAATTTGAAGATTCCTCTTCCTTCTGATATCCTGCTTAACAACTTTTGAGCCGGGCACACCAGTAATCAAAACCGTGTTCACTTTCCCTAATGAAAAAATCATTTGTGAATTATCTATGTAGTTTTTCTCACTGTAGTAAGTCAATACAACTCAATTATTATTAAAGCTTCTTTGTCTGAGAAGGGGACTTTTCATAATTTGGAGGACCCAACAAAATTCTGCTGTGACTTCCCCTAACCATGGCATAGACAGGGCTCTGGGTCAGATCACTTCTCTTAGCGTCTTTTGAGGCCTCTTGCATCTCTTCCACTAGAGGATGCTGGCCCAGAGGGGTGAATCCCATGCTGGGCCTCTGCTCTGATTTGACTGATGTCACTAGGTACTAAGTTTTATTATCTCTTGGGAAAATTAGATATCAGAAGTCTATGCTCTGATTGGGATTTTTTCTTAAAAATTATTGGTGAAGTTGCATTTATCTGGCTTGACTTTGTCTTGCTCTATATCATCAAGAACATTGTCTAAAAGGGCACTAGTTAGTAGAGAAAATTCCCACAAATCCATTAACAAAACTGACTCCAAGGACTGAAGAGTTTGTGGTCTTGTAGTGCCGCTGTCCCTCATTGGGCAAGCTCTGCCTTGGGTCACCATCTCAACACCTCAGTGTTTACTTTCCTCCGTTTAGTCTTTGTATTTCTGGGAGTTAATTTAAAAGATGAAATCTCCAAAATGGCTTCTTCTGGAAAAGGCAGATTGTCAGTTCTGAGGAGAGAAATGGCCACTTAGAATTAGCTGGTATGAAGCAGAAAGTTCAAAATGACACCTTTAACCAACTGTCAGCAACACTCACTGGATGACATCTCCCTAGTCCTTACCCTGGCTGGCTGGACACCTGCTTCCAGTCATGAATTTGTATGTCCCTAATGCACATGCATGCCACAATTATCATTTCACCAAGGATAACTTGAAGAACTTTCAGTATGGCCAAATTGTCCTTCTTAGAAGTGCCTCAGAGCTAAAAGTCTTGACAGTTTGTGATATTTAATAATCTGTCTGTATCAGTTGGTATGAAAAATACTTTAAAAAATTCAGACTAAAAAACTCACATCATTAAAATGTGTTCTGAGGAAAAATTTAATTTCCTTTAAATTCACAAGTGTAATTATCTTCAAGTATCAAGAACCAAAATCACCATCTTCTTGTATATATGCCCGTGCTTAACTTTTGAAAATCAATTCTGCCGGGCGCCGTGGCTCATGCCTGTTATCCCAGCACTTTGGGAGGCCGAGGCGGGTGTATCACTTGAGGTCAGGAGTTTGAGACCAGCCTGGCCAAGATGGTAAAACCCTGTCTCTACTAAAAATACAAAAATTAGCTGGGCATGGTGGTGGGTGCCTGTAATCCCAGATACTCAGGAGGCTGAGGCAGGAGAATTGGTTGAACCCGGGAGACGGAGGTTGCAGTGAGCCAAGATCATGCCACTGCACTCCAGCCAGGACAACAGAGTGAGACTGTCTCAAAAAAAAAAAAAGAAAAAAAAGAAAAAAAATCAATCCTATGACTGAGTCTGCCCCTCTTCTACAGAGTGAATGAATGCCCCAATAGTATTAATAGGTACCTCTGATAGCTTCAGATATTCCCTGCTTCTTAGTCAATAATTGCTACTTGGGATCTTCTGATGGAGAAAATGATTTTTTTCCTTTTATGATACCCACCATCCAACTTAATTGGAGGAGCTTGGTTAGTAAATAGAATTGGTATGTTAAACGCTTCTTGTAAGATCTCTTCCTTGAAATTCCTGAATTTCCCTCTATTTATATTATATTGTTGAATTCATTCTGTAATGCTTTGTTGTACTGATAAAATTAATGTCCCATTTGGAGAAGTAGTATTTCCTAAAGATATGTGGTCACTGAGGGCTCAAAACCAATCACTACCAATAATTTTTTAATGGGGTTGGGGAGATTAAAAAATAAGTGTTTTTTGCATTTTCCTAACAAAGTGTTTGGAGCCTATGCTCACAGAAATCTCTGTTAAATATCTTAATAGGAATTTGAAAAGGATGGCAGATACGAACAGCCAATTTTGCAAGCTAAACTCAATACTCACCCCTCACTCCTACCCAGGTCTAGCTTTCATTAATATGTTCTTCTGCTTTCCGGGAATGATCTGCCCAGGATCTTGGTATTTTAACTCAACTACATAGAAATCAACCCAAAACAGCCTTATGCTTGATGCAGTGGCCAAGTCATGCCTGTCATGCCTGAAGGCTATGGGACCTACCATCAAATTCATGGAGGTTTCTCCTGATGTAGTTTTGGGTCTTCCTTTGACCCTGTGATTCTGTGTACAGTAGAATCTTTATTACTTCCTGAAAATAAGTAAATTTTTGAGCTGGCTCATATTCTGTGAACTTTTGTTATTTTTTTTTCCTCCTAAAATTAGTTCCTTTTTAATCTGTAATGTTGTTTTGAGGAAACTTTTTTTCTAGTACTGATAGGTACTCTAACATTTTTAACACGTGTATTTGATGTTTTCTAATAAAATTTAGAGCCAACAAATATCTTTTTCATTTTTACATACAGTGTTAATATCTTTGCATGTTTTAACTTCCCTCCCAATTCTATCTCCCATCCTCTATAATATTGTTGCCTAGAATGTTAGTTATATCTTATTTAAATAAGAAATATTCTCATAGTATTTACTGTAAACTCTTTGGCTTTTTGGTCTTTTTTCTCTACTTTATGAAAAACATATCTTAATAGTTCTTGTTTTTCATAAAGATTTGCAGATGATGAATACTTCCAGTATGTGTATGTTTGAAAATGCTACCATTCTAATCTTTACCTGAAGTAAGAGGTAAGCTGGATAGAAAATCCTAAATTGAAAATTGTTTCCCCTCTGCACTTTAAGTATAATAGTAAAGATTTCTGACATCTATAGTTACTGATCAGAAGTCTTCTTTCCTTATTACATTGATCATTTGCAAATAATTGATCTAATCTTGTCTGGTAGTTTTAATATGACTTTTTCTTAATAAGACACACAGTTTCATAATATAGTGACTATGTATAGATTTGTTTTTTATGATTCTGTGGAATATTTTTTATTCTGAAGACGAATGTATTTTTTTAATCTGAGAAAGATTTTTATATTTTAATGTGGTTTTACCGGTATTATTTTATATATTGTTATTTATTGCTTTTTTTGACTACACTAATTATACTCAAGTTTCTATTAGACTTTTTTCTACTGTAACTTATTATTTCAATATAAATTGTATTATTTGTTGTGTCTTCCGACTGTGTCTTCTTGGCAGGGTGATTCCTTCTTCGTCTCTTATTTATAAACACATTTTCAGCTGGGACAATTTTCCATGCGTGTTTTTCTCCTCAAGTGCTCTGACTTTTGAAGGCATACTTACAGGGTGGTTTCACGTCAGTTTTTTATCAGCTTATACAATGATTTCTGAACTTTAATTTGCATATATTATAACACAGGTTTCAACATTTTTGAAGCTCTCTCTGATTCTATCCGTGACCTAAGACCAAGTGCTTACTTCTGGGGATACCCTTGAGCTCCAGGCAGAATTGTTCACGTTCCAGCTTATGACTGGTCCTTGGCTATATGCAGGGTGTCCATCTCTACTTCCGATGATTTCTATAGCTTTCATCTATATTTCAGTTCTGGCATTACTTTTTTTTTCATAAAATGTACACCTGGACTTGCCCGTGGGCTGCATGACTTCAAATCTCACTCATTAACATGAGAATGGATTTCATCTTTAGTTCTGGTGTCCGAAGATTTTGCTTTCCTGTTTTAGGCTTTAGTATTTAGAGGAGGCCATCTATAATTTCTGTGTTTTGGGAATGAGTGAAGGTCTGGGTGGGGTTTCTTATCTTCTCAGTTCATGATCCTGTCTGGAAGTCTACAATGTTGTCTTTATCTGCTTCAAATGTATTTAGTAGGTTGTCTTATTCTATTTTAGCTGTTATAACCAGATCACAAAGCAGTGTGAAGACTGAAATTGTGAATACTGAACAATTGCCCTTGGGGAAAAACAGGATCAGGTACCTGTGAGCCTTCAGTCATGTGTTCCTCAACCAACCAATACACAACCTTGTTTTATGTGTAGTTCTGTTTAAAGACACTTTATTTATGACATATTGTTGATTAATTAAAATTGAACTCACAGCCAATTGGATGATAACTTGGCCTGAATTAAACTTACCTAAAACACACATTTTCTTTTTTTTCCATAAGGCACATCATAGTCTTCTTGCATGTAGGTACACAAGACAGACCTTCAGTACTATGAGTAGAGGTCATTTTCAACAGCAAAATCACAAGCAAAAGATGTAGCGTACATAGACCTTAAAAAGGACGCTTCTTTAGAGCCTGAGGACTGAAACAAGAAGGCAGAGTGTTGCCTTGTTCAATCTCAGCTGGGAACTTGTGTTTTGGATGATTCAAATATTTTGCTTCTCTACCAACGTTGTAAATGACTATGAAAGTGCCAATAACATTGATTTGGGGGTTAAAATAAATTTTCAGAGTAAGAGAACTCACAAATACAGAATCCATGCATAATGAGGATTGACTGTACTTAAAACTTATATGTTACAGCAGCATAGACAGAAATTAGACTGGAAGTCACCACATAGGTCTTCACCATGATTCTCTTCCTAAATTGTTGTGTGGCCTGGGATTAATTACAATTCTCCTGTGCCTCTCCTTCCTTAATTGTTAAATAAAGGCATTATTAATGAGATTTTTGTTCATGGAGAATTGTAATGCTTGTACTTTCACCAACAGACAAAAACGTAGTTTAAGTCCGGCCTTAGAAAAAGGGGTTACATAATAATATATAAGGGGACTTCAAAAAGTTCATGAAAAATGGAATTAAAAGATAAAATTTTTAAAATATAAACTTTATTTCTTAACATTAGCTCCATTAAGGTCAAGACAGTTTTGTAAGTGATGGTACCAGCAATTTAGTTCATCCCTCAAAAAACTGAGAGTCTTGGAAATTTAGATTTATCAATGCAATCTTTTTTACATTTTTTAACAGAAGAAAAATGGCCTTTGTTTATAGATATTTTTATGATTAGAAAACAAAAAAGAGTCAAAAATAGCCAAATCAGGACTGTAAGGTGGATACCTAATAATTTTTATGGAAACTCTTAGAAAATTACCCTTGTTTTGTGAGAGAAATGACCAGGAGCTTTGTGATGGTTGAGAGAGACTCTCTGGTGAAGCTTTCCTAGGTGTTTTTCTGCTAAAGGTTTGGCTAACTTTCTGAAAACACTCTGATAATAAGCAGATATTATCATTCTTTGGTCCTCCAGAAAGTCAAGAAGCAAAATGACTTGAGAATTTCAAAAACTTTTTCCATGACCTTTGTTCTTCACTTTTTCATTTTTGCTTTGATTGGGCCACCTCCACCTCTTGGTAGCCATTGCTCTCATTTTGCATTGTCTTCAGGATGGTACTGGTAAAGCCATGTTTCATCTCCCATAAGTATTCTTCAAAAATATGCTCAGGGCCGGGCACAGTGGCTCACACCTGTAATCCCAGCACTTTGGGAGGCCAAGGCGGGTCAGGAGATCAAGACCATCCTGGCCAACATGGTGAAACCTTGTATCTACTAAAAACACAAAAATTAGCTGGGCATGGTGGCACGTGCCTGTAATCCCAGCTACTTGGGAGGCTGAGGCAGGAGAATCGTTTGAACAAGGGAGTTGGAGGTTGCAGTGAGCTGAGATGGCACCACTGCACTCCAGCCTGACAACAGAGAGAGACTCCGTCTCATTAAAAAAAAAAAAAAAGCTTAGGATCTTAATCTCACTATTAAAAAAAATGTCTATTGAGAGCTCTGTACTTGTCTCCAGCTGATCTGTGTGCAATGATTTTGACACCCATTACGTGAAATTTTGCTCAACTTTAATTTTTTAGTTAGAATTGTGTAAGCTGAACTAATTGAGATGTCTATGGTGTTTGCTATTCTTTGTGCTATTAATCACCAGTTCTCTTCAATTAGGGCACAAACAAAATTAATATTTATTCTTATAAATGATGTGGATGGTCTACATCATCTTATCTCATCTTAAAATGAATTATCTATATGTAAACTGCTGATTTCTTTTTGAAATTGTCCCCACAAAACTCATAAAGCATCAATAATTTCCCATTCTTTCACCCAGGTTTTACCGTATATTTTATGTTTATTCTTGCTTTAATTTTAGAATTCCTGTTGCTCTGATAGGGATTCTTTTCAAACTGGTGTTTTTGTCTTTCTTAGTACCTCAAACTAGATCCTGTTCAGATGCATTATAAGTTAGTTGAAGTTTATTTTGGTGCAAAAATTTTTTAAATTCATACATAGCTTTTTCATGACACGTATTTTTCTTTTTTTCTTTTTCTTTTTTTTTTTTTTTGAGACGGAGTCTCGCTCTGTTGCCCAGGCTGGAGTGCAGTGGCATGATCTTGGCTCACTGCGAGCTCCGCCTCCCGGGTTCCCACCACTCTCCTGCCTCAGCCTCCCGAGTAGCTGGGACTACAGGCGTCCGCCACCTCGCGACATATATTTTTCATGAACATTTTGCAGTTCCTCATATTTGTGGAAAATTTTTCCGCAGGAGATGGTGCTTTTGATTATGGTCAGGTAATTGCTAAGTTTTAAAGGCAAACATCACTAAATGTTTTGGTGTTCTTTTGCGCAGAAAAAGTATAGCTTGACTGGGTGGGTTTTCTAAGTAGCATTTCTAAGATGAAGGCTTAGTAGCATTCTCTCCACTAGAAACGAATGAAATTTGAGTAGAAATGAGAATAACTACCACATCCTACATTATATGAACCCCAAATTTATTGCATCGGTGATGTATACATCAGCTATCTTTGGCAACAAAATTGAGACTTTTAGGAGAGTTTTGTTATTGTTGTTTTAAAGTTTAGGTCACACATCTAGAACCATGTCTGCTTTTGTAGGAGTAGGCACGGATGTTCTAACACCCAGGTTTTACACAACTGAGGCAGCATGAGGAATCTTATATTCATCCCATGTCATTGCCCAACATTCTGTAGGACCTTGCTGTGCAGCAGCATAGGCACCATCTGAGAGCTTGTTACAAACACTTCTCCAGGCCCTGCTTCAGCACTACTGAATCAGGATATGCAGTTTATGAAGATTCCTAGTGATTCATATGGGCTTTAAAAGTTGAAAAGCCGGCCGGGCATGGTGGCTCATGCCTGTAATCCCAGCACTTTGGGAGGCCAAGGCGAGTGGATCACCTAAGGTCAGGAGTTCAAGACCAGCCTGACCAATGTGGAGAAACCCCTTCTCTACTAAAAATACAAAATAAGCCAGGTGTGGTGGCACATGTCTGTAATCCCAGCTACTAGGGAGGCTGAGGCAGGAGAATCACTTGAACCTGGGAGGCGGAAGTTGCCGTGAGCCAAGATTGCCCCATTGCACTCCAGCCTGGGGGACAGGAGTGAAACTCCATCTAAAAAAAAAAAGTTGAAAAGCCTTCTCTGGGAGCTCCATGCCTATTCTCCAAATTGCTGCAGTGCCCAAATTAATTCTGTCTCCTCCAATTATCAAAAAGGCACTAGAAGAGTTAAATGACAACATAAACATTTTTTCAAAATAAAGTATGGGTTATCACTAGAATTAACACTGTAAAAGATTCCTTACATTTTAGAAAATGAGCTACCTTAATTCAATCTAATCTTCAGCATGTGAACTAAAAGGGTATTCAAGCAACATCAATTACAGCTCAGGAAGGTACAAGAAACTACTCTTTATCTAAGGTGTTAGGAGGTGTAGGTTAACTGCAACCTTTTAAAATATTCACTCAGGCCCAAAGGGAGAACAAGAGTTCTGCTGTATTCAGAGCACTTAAGTTATAAACAGATCAGAGTTTGCAGGGCCTTCTTAGCTCCTTAAACAGCTAGGTCCATAAAGCCATCATATCTCTTTGGTTCCCTCTGTTTTAGGAAGAGAAGCAGGTCACTGAAGTCTTGTGTACAGCAGGGAGGCTAGACCCAGGGCATACTTACCATGAATAATAATAACAATGGTTAGTAATATGTTTGTTGATGCCATTCACTTTTTCTAAGCATTTCTGAAGTATCATCTTACATAAAGACTAAAACAATCTTATGTGGTAGTTACTATTATTATCATTTTCATTTGTAGCTGGAGATAATGAGACATTGAAAGATAATGTGAATTGTCCAAAGTCTCACAGGTAAGCAATGAGTGTTTGAAGGCAGATTCTAGGAACTCAACCGTTGTACTATTCTACCTTTTAAGATTGGAAGTGTATGGCTGTTACAGTCAAACAAAGACAGTGCCCAGAGTAAGCAAGAGAAAGACAGCTGGATAGCTAGGCCACATATGATCACATACTGTTATTCTACTAATATAATTCAACAGAGAAATGGGCTCAACAAAAGTCAGACCACATTTTTCTCATTAGCTGGACCTTGGAGATCCTCAACTTTCCTATGAAGGAGACTTATACTGGATAGAGAAAGAGATGTAAGTTCCCTTTCAAGCAATTTTCCAAGAAGGTGAGGTATCTCCCTTCACAGAAATGTGAGGGTGAGAGTAAGGTATTCCTTACACATGCATCTTCCAATTTTCCAATATTATCACACATGGCAGAAGAAGACATTACTGCTTTGTAATTTTTATGAGATAATAAAAAGATTATAGAATCTGGGGGCAGAATTCACTGATAAGCTATGAATAATAATGGTACCAATTGAGTTAGATTCCAGTGAAAAGAACTTAGAACACTATATGGCACCCAACATATTTACTGTCATCATCATCAACATCATCAAACTAAGGATGAAAGGGCATGTTGATTGTAAATCCACTTTTGTAGGTCAGAAAATCCCACGCTAATGGCACTGGTACCAACAGATTTGGTCACATCATTTGGTTGAATGATGGCATTTCTCTTCCCAGATCAGGTCGTTGAAATTCATCCCGTTAGACTGTGGAAATTGCTCAAATCACATTATATGCGTTTCAGATTAAGTAACCTGATCCTATGAAACCACTAGGACACATAAACAGCTCCTCTCTTTTCACTGTTTGAAAGAGCAAAATATCAATCTTAATTTACTTTAAAAAAAGCCTATCTCTGTTAGAAATTCATGAATCTGATTCCCCCTGTGAATTCAAAATCAGTTGTTAAATTTGTTGGAAAATTTTTATAATGTGTCCAACAGCGAATATCACTTGGATTTTTGCCATATTAGAACTAACTCAGGTTTAGTGATCAAGAGAATTTTAGTTTTGTTTTTGTTTTGTTAATCAGATGGATAAATTTGGCCCATTCTCTTTACCTCCTGGACTTCAGTTTCCTCATCTGTAAATCAAGGGGATTGGAAGAAAATAACTACAGAGTTGCAGCCAGTTCCATTATTAGAAAATTCTATATTCTGTGAAACCTGTTCACAGTCTCTAACCTCCAATCAAATCACAATGTGTTCTAATGCCATAGTAACCCAGGTGCATTCACCACAATTTAATCAGAGAGTGCACAATGCCCAGCCAACAAAGCTGGCTATCAACCCAACAGGTGGTTTTTAATAAGACAGATTCTACGTTCTGCATTTAAAGCTACCGTTACATTAAAAAGAAAAAAAATATTTAAAGAGGCAACCTCTCTATAGAGCTAATGAAGTCAGAAAGCAAGAATGAAATATCATTATCCTTATGGACAAACATATACAGTATCCCAAGTCGATCTGAGGCTTTAGGGTTGGGAACAAAAAAGAATACTTAACGTAAGATTAAAGCCATCTGGGCAAGAGACAACATGCTCCTGATTCTCTCCCAATTCCTTACCTGACATTGAAACGCTGATGAAAGAATTGCTGCTCTTTCCTTTGAGCAGGAGAAACTGTAATGTTTTGCTTGAGCCTGCTACCTTGATTAATGTATCAGGCTCATCACTGAAGCAAAAACATATATTATGCTTTGCTTGATTCTAAATATATGTACTTTTAATCTCTGTATTCAGTCAATGTATTAGCTTGCCAGGGAAGGAAATCAAATTACATACTGTACACATAAACCTCAAAAAGTACTGATTACTGATTAGAGAAAGAAAAAAAAAGTAAGATAGAATTGCAAAACGCACCATGAAAAGGCACAGATCTGAATTGTTAAGAACTTATTACCATATTGCTTCTCTCAGGGAAACGAAATGCATCAATATATACTTTAGTTAAAGTATGAAGTATTTAAGCAAATTCAGCAAAGGTCTTAGTCAGCACCTTTAAAAAATCTTTTATTTTATGTTTGTAGAAACCAAGTGCAAAATGATTTATTTGCCTGGAAATTTACGATTTGTGAGGCTGTATAAATCAACCATTTGGGGGAAATTGCTTCAAGTGGCAACATGTTTGTATTTGATATGAAGAGTTAGGGTTTGGGGAGAAAGTCATTTGCTTTATAAGAAACTGAAATGCTTGTTGATGAATAAAATATAAATGTATGATCTGAAGCTCCATTTTTGGAATGGACCATTTGAGGAGTTTCAACATTGTTTGAGATGTATTAAAGAGAATGTGCATATCATGTTACTTTAAATGCAACATAAGTGGCTGTAGTAACAAAAATTATAGCAGTCTTGCTAATTGAATAATTTTCCTTGATATTATATTTTATTGGTGATTAAACACAACTATTTTGTAAACCTAAAGTATGCTCCTGATTGATTGCGATTGAAATTGAAGCAAGTAAAGTCTGGTGACGGCTTCATCTTTTAAAATAAAGTATAGAAAATATTATTGGTTTGAGAGTGAAGTATCCTTGAAAACTTCACTCCAAAAAAAGGCATCCTGGCTTGATAAGCGTTTTGAGTTAAAGGTCTTTGGAAACAACCAGGTGCTAGAAGAGGCTTTGTTCTTATCTACATACAGACTGGAAACACCAAGGAGAACAATTGGTTTCCACCTTGCCCTGAAATCTCATTTACTGAGGCAGAAAAGAAGACTGAGGAGTGTAGATATGCCTGGGTGACCTTTTCACAAGACAATTTCAATCTCCAGGATGCATTCAACTTCCAAAGACATTCATTTACAGGCTAATTTCTGTCTCCCAGGTCCACTCATTCTCCCTAATAATCACCCATTGCTCTTCAAAAGAATTACCTACATTCCCCCTCTCCCTGCTCCTTCATGAAGAAAGTTATATAAGCATCTGGACCCCATCGAGTTATTGGTTCATAAGTCTCCTAGGATTCTACCATGCTGGGCATGTTAAAATAAATTTTGTATCATGTTTCTTCGATTAATCTGCCTTTTGTCAGCTGATTTTCAGAGAGTCTTCAGTGGGCAGAGGAAGTTTTCTCTTGGCCTGCACAAGGAACTCATCTTAAAAAAGAGATGTGCCTCCTAAAGAGAAAAATGCATTACTACATATGTGAGTAGTTCAAAGATGAAAGATTAACCATTTTGAATATTTGGAAGAATTACATCATTTTACTAATCTGGAAGTTTGCTTCTGTAGAATCACAAGTGAACATGTGATGTCACACTTTTCATTATTGCTGTGTATATATCAAGAGCACATTAGGCTCAGATAGAGCCTTCGACTTGAGAGATTGTGGTCTCAGAGGAGATAAAGTCCTCAACTGAGAATGCTTATTTGCGGAACAGATGCATTGAGCTACTTACAGAACATATGTGGGGTGAAGATGGGGGCACAGGCCAAGAAAAGTGTCTTAGTGCACAAAGTTGTGAAAATAAGTAATTCAAATTAACGCTATTGAAACTTTAAATTATTTTGAGCCTTAAAAGAAATGTGTTGGTGGGTCCTGAGTCACGTAGTCATGTAACAGGCGGCTGCAACCTGTTTCTCTGCTTATAGATTAGCTTTTTCCGTACCTACATTGTTTAGTAAAATGTTGTAAAAGACTAAATAGTGCCAGAGATAGGATCCCTTCCCTATTAATTGTTGACCCTCTTTACAGATTAACTTTCTTATTTCTTGTCTTGTACCAGACTAGACCAGATAGAGCAAAAGACTCTATGATTATCAAATTGCTTCAGATAGAATGTTAATTATGCATTTCCTGAAAAGGAACCAGTGGTGACCAACCAAATTGCTGTAACTCATAAAACAGCCTTGTACGGAAAATATGATTCTGCTAAACTTCTTTGTTTCTACCTATCTAAGTAAAACCTTAACATTTTCACTGTGGAGCACTGACTCCATTTGTTTGGAGTCTGTGTTCCTCAGACAGCTGTCCTTTAATTTTGTGCTTGAATAATTCTTTTAAGCTGGATTCTGATCATGTCAATTATTTCAGATTGACAAAGTATTTTAAGCAAATTTTGCAAAACTCCAAGCATAGTTTAATTTTCCATCTTTTGTTTTATCCTGCTGATACCATATGCAAATTCTCCAGAGGTTCTAGGAAATTCAGTGTTGCCCCAGAGAGATGATTGGCCGCTGGGGCCCCAGTAAGTCTTTATGTTCCCACTCTAGGATGTCTGCAGCGTAGCCTGTTTGCAGAGCACACCCGGTTTTATTAGGACAAACACAACTGGGATCCTTTCAGCCTAGAGACCCTTTGCATATTTAAAATTTCAGTGTTAAATGAAATTTGGCCTCAAACTGCCTCCTTATGTATTTTACATTAAGCCTAAAGGTTTTTCCATATATAAGGAGCTGTAACCCAATTTGATGTGTTAAATACATTGTAGTCTCAGCCAATCACAGCAGCTGAACTTCATTTAGCCATAGGCAGCTGATCTAATTAGGCTTTCTTGTCCACACCAAAATCTCATCTTGAATTTTAATCCCCATTATCACCACGTGTCAAGGGAGAGACCAGGTGAAGGCAATTGAGTCATGGTGGTAGTTACCCCCATGCTGTTCTCATAACAGTGAGTGTGTTCTCAGGAGATCTAATGGTTTTATACGTGTTTGGTAGTTCCTCCTGCATTCATTCTCCTTCCTGCCACCTTGTGAAGAAGGGGAACGTTCCACCATGATTGAAAGTTTCCTGAGGCCTCCCCAGCTACGCTGAACTGTGAGTCGATTAAACCTCTTTCCTTTTTAAATTACCCAGTCTCCTTGTAGCAGTGTGAGAACGGACTAATACAGCAGCCAACTCTTCAAACCAGGTTGAAATAAGGTAAATGCCCCACTGCATCCAATCTAGCTGTTTCTGTTCCTCATTTTTGTTTTCTGTCCACCACTCTCCGTTTTCTGTCCATAAATGTTATCTGACCATGTGGCAGCCCTGGAGTCATTCTGAACGTATTCTGGTTCTAGGCGATGTCTGATCCATGAATTGTTTTTTGCTCATTTAAAATGTGTTAAATTTAATTTGTCTGAAGATTTTTTTAAACAAGAAATAGAGAAGCTTTCAAATAGATTTCTCTTTCTTCCATGCCAGAAATGTCTGATAAGAGAATTTAGCAATCATGTATAAAAACGTTATACCTTCACCCAAACATGTACTTAATTGGAGTGTTCATTCTGAACACTAGAAGCTTCAAAAATTTTTACGATATATTTTGTCAGTTATCTTAAGTTTACTTTGGCTTATTACTTTCTTGTTTAATGCTACTAGTGAAATATTCCATGTTCATCCTGAACACTAGAAGCTTCAAAAATTTTAACAATATATTTTGTCAGTTATCTTAAGTTTACTTTGGCTTATTACTTTCTTGTTTAATGCTACTAGTGAAATATTCCGTGGTTTAAGTTTGGAACTGCAATACACCTGTGTTCTTTCTTCAATTTAATGTAATAAAAGCCTGCAGGCCTGCTATCATAGCTTCAGATTCTGAGACAGGTGCCGGGGTAAGGCGGAAGGTCAGTCCCAGCCGAGGAAGCCTGTGAGCTAAGGGGTGAGGCCAATGGTGCATGAACAGAGTCAGTACTTCACTTAGATATGGATGAAGGACTGAAAAAGTAGAGAGAAAAGTTTAAAAGTTCTGATTTGGCAAAATGGAGATCAGAGCAACCAAAGCTCAACATAGCTTTTGATCTAGACCTTAAAGAATATATATTTTTGGATATAATATTGCATTTGGTTTTGATCTGGAAGTCACACAACAGTCTTCGAGCAAAAGAAGTAAAGTATTTACCTGAATTAGATATTGTTACCGTCATAATTAAAATCCATAGCATATGTATATCACATGTATAGCTGGATATTTTTGTTGAATGCTTTGCAAAAAAAGAAAAGTCATGCAGTGCTCAGCCCCTGAATATTTCCAAGTAGGAAATCTAACAAAATGTCTGAAGGTTTAGTATGTAACTCTTTTATACAATAAAGTAGAGAGGCATTTATTATCTACCAGTTTTTTAAAAATACATCCTGCTCTGGCCCACCAATTACATCTTTGCAAATTTGTTTACTGACAAATATTATGTGAAAAGATAATCGTGCAAGAAGAATTACTGCAGCATTATTTACAATAAAGTGATTAGAAACAATTTGAGCTTCTAAGAAATGATGATAATTAATTTAAAATAGTTTACTTAGTGATTTTGCATACCATCTTATTCTTTCCAGATGTTTTTAGAACTTTTATCTTTTTAAACATTTAAATATTCTTAGTTTATGATCGCCTTTAGGTTCTTTTTCTACTGCTTCTGGTACCTGAGACATTTGTGCTCCCCCCTTCCCTTTTTTTTTTTCATGTAACCGCTGTCTTGTACTTATGATGGAATTTTTTATTTTTGTGATTTTGTTTGTAAATTCATCTTTGTTAAGTTCTGGTCCCTGCCATCCTCTCACATTGGAATCCCATGAGGTAGAAATTGATGGATGGTTTCCCATTTATTTCTATCAAGGGTATCAACAACCTGGACTACTGTTTTTCTCTTTTAAAACATTAATTCATAGTTTATGATTTTCTTCATAATGAAGTAAATACAGTTTTTAAGTT